GGGGGGCAATGGATGAAAGACAAGGGGGCGCGAGGGGGGCAATGGATGAAAGACAAGGGGGCGCGAGGGGGGCAATGGATGAAAGACAAGGGGGCGCGAGGGGGGAAAGACAAGGGGGCGCGAGGGAGGCAATGGATGAAAGAGACAAGGATCACGCTTTGTGTGGACGTTCGGGTGTAGAATGTATTTTGTCGTCGTTTGCAGTAGTTGTTCTGGGCCTCATTTGAAGACCTGAGGCATACGAGCAAGATCCGACGGATGCTGCGATGAAGCTCAAAACAACTTGTCCCTGGTCAGATGGGTGCAGAACAGTGTGAATGGGGGTGGGGAGGAATCGCTCAAGCAGAATTCATGGAGGAGATCCGTTGTTTTCAGCGCATCTAACCAAAGGATGGACGCATGTCAGAGCCATTCTCGAAATGGTTAGGTTGCGTCGGCCCAACCCGACGTTTTCCATTCGATGCTGGAAGACAGGAGCACAAGGTGTCTACTTTCAAAGTGCTGAAAATCTCAACAGTGGAGAGGACCACCCGTCTGAAGGTAGCAGGCACCTACAGATTTGACTGGGTTTTTGGTGTTGGCTTAGCTGGGAAGCAGATTTCATCGCAGCAGACCAGTTTCTTCAAACAACCTCGAAGATCTTCGAAGATTAGAGGTGGCGCAAGAAACCCAGTGGTTAATCTAAGTTTCATTGGCATTAGCGGGGTTCGTTTACATTGCATATGAAGAATCTTACAAGAAAATCAAGACAGATAATCTCAAACAAAATTCCGAGATCAGCCGACAGGAGGCGAATCTCAATGTTTATCCAAGCGAATGGGACAGGAAAACGATTAAACATGTTGGTCGCTTCTAAGCCTGGCCTCGTTCAGCAGTTTTCATAGTATTCACTTTGCTGTCGAGGTTTTTGTGTTTCATGGTGTGGCAATGTGGCACAGGTGCATGGCAACTTCGTTTGCCTGATGGTTCTTTCCTGCAAGAACCACAGGTGGGACATGTTGCTTCATGTTGATTTGACTCGGTTGGATCAATACCCACGATGTTTAATCCATGGCTTAAGATGTTGAACAAAGTCATATTCAGAAGCTGTGCTGTATTGAGAACCCAACTGTTTAGTTTCCGAATAGAACCGTGACCTTAAGATGTTTAAGACATGACCACAATCAGACACATGGTTCGTCATTGGGCGTTCGACAACTGGCTTTCAGACCGCAGGCATCTCAGCAATGAGTTCTGATCTTTCTGCCTTGAACACCCTTTGAGCCATACATTCACACATGCATATACTTGCAATGATATAGAATATAAATACTGATGATATAGATCTGCAAACAGGCAAAGCAGATATATATTGTAAATGTTTACATTCTATTCATGGGCATTTGCCTTTAGCTCATCGCCCACTGACACGTCCACGATCGACCGGCAGGTGGTGGCCAGTGGAACACCCATGGAGGAACCCCTCCGCTTGGTCTCCTGTGTGGTGGAACACTCCCGCTCCAACGACGCGGAGTTCCAGGTGCTCAACAAGGCCGCTGCGTCTCGGAGAGGAAAAAACCGGCCCAAAGACGACCCGCTTCCCTGGAGTGGTCGTGGCTTATGTGTCTTAGCAGGTGCTATCTATACACCACGAGGATGGGTCGTTCGGAGCCCGACCAGTCCATGTAGCGAACGACCTTCCGTGTAGCGTGCTGTCTTTGATCGCTTCGACATCCCAGATGACCAAGGACAAGTTGTTGACCCGAGGGCGACCCGCTGCAGCCACTTTGCATTTAGATGTCAGCGAAACTCCCTGCTTATCGTGCAGCTTGGCTGGGAACATGCACATGGTTTGCCACGGGAAGAATGAGCTAGAGATGTCATCCCTGAGCATAAAGGGCATAAAGTAATGGCTTTTCCTTATCTCAGGCCGAAGATGAATCACATTCAAAATTTTAAAGGACAACCGAGGAAGACACCCAATGAAAGAAGCTTGATCCAACTTTATCTGCACACTGCACAGCTAATTCTGCGTCGAAGAAGGTGACAAAGTCTAGTCCCAGCTCCCAACATCTTCCATTTTCCCATTCCCAACGACCGGAGCCTCGAAACTAACCGTCTCTCTCCGTCGAGCCGTCGAGGTTTGGGCGCCCTGCGGCAGTTCCAAAAGGCCTTTCCGGAGGTCTCGCTGCGCGCGTCCTTCAGCATCCGCAAGGTCTGCGAGATCTCGGAGGAGCCGGAAGAACTCGGAGGGTGGAGGGTGGTGGAGACCTCCGGAAAAGCCGTTGGAGGGTATTTCTGGAGGAGACGTTTTGAACAAGATTATCCAAGCATGTCAAAAGGAGATTAAAGACTGGACGTATTATCACGTATATGATCCTATATATATATATATGATCCTAATATAGATCTTCAATGCATCTAAATTCCCCGTAAACCTCCGGGTGGACGACCTCCCGTTCCTTCTTCCGCTGCTCCCCGTTCGGCAGGACTGCTCCAGCGACCTCGCGTGGTCGGTGCCGGGACCACCGGCCACGGATCTACCAGCGCCCGAGAAGGACCGAACCACAAGGGTGCTGCGTCGTCCGCGAGTTTGAAGTGGTACTACCTCTACCAGGACCTTCCAACAGGTCTCCGAAATGGTAGCTTCTACAGGCTTAAAGGTCGCAGGCGGTGACCTGTTGGAGGGTGCTGGTATAGATATAAGATAATATATGTGGGATGTGATGAGTGATTGTGATGTGTTTTGCGTTTCTTTGTGCAATTGCTGGTGAAAGAGAAAAGAAACCTTTTCCAACAGTCAATGCAGAAAGAACCGCCATGTATCAGACCAAAACTAAATACGGTTTGATCATCCATTATAGGATATTATAGGAGGAAACCTTGGCTTCATAGTGACACTGACCAACTCGTACCCGACATGTACATTAGGAGAGTCATGAACATGCGGCTTGAAAACCAGGCATGGTCTGGATTGCATCAACAACAAGTATAGTTCTTCAATGGGTTTACAATGGACCTTTACCTGGCCATGTTACTTCCATCATTTGGATCGCCAATGATTCCACGTAATGGACCTTGGCATTTCGTGGGTCCATCGGCCGCTGGAAAGCAGCCCGGCACGAACACAACGAGGAGGTGTTGGATAACCGCGGCCGGGGCCGGGCACCTCCCACTTCAGTGCAGGCGCGCAAGGATGGTTTTTCTGCGGTGACGGCGAACGGGGGGGGTTGAGTGCGACAGTGACTGGTGGGGTGAGAGTAACCCGGAGATTCCCAGATCCAGGTCCGGGGTAACCTGGATCCGGTGAGGATCCGGTGAATTCAGGGAGAAAACTTTTGGGGAGGTTCGAGGGCTTTCTCAACCAGATTCCGATCTTTTCAGCGAGGTCGTGTTTTGGAGAAGTGACACGGAGTTTGGAAGAGGAACCTGCCAGTCTTAGCCTTCAACAACGAACTGAAACTCAATTGGTTGACGTGTGCATGTTGGAGTCGGCAGTTCAAGTGGGGGCCAGCCCCTCATATACAGAGCGGTCGTGTTTTCTTATTCTTCCGGCCCAACTGGTTTCACTTTGTCCCTTGAAGGCTTGCTTATGGGTGCCACCAGACTCAGAGTGTTTTCCTAGTCCTCCGGTCACTGGTCAACTGGTTTCTTTTGAACACTTGCTACTCCCCCAGGGTGACCCTTTGCATTCCATCCACTCCGAACAGTCAACCACTGCCGTATATATTTGGTTTGGTAAGTGCAATGCCATCTTCATATCAGTTGCCTTGGGTGTGGTAGTTGGATGACTCTCCCGTCCGATTGTCCAGCTTCCGGTCTGAATTGCTGTTGAGCCGCTTGCTGGCGCTTGATTCTGTCGCCCCAAGTTCCCTCAAGTATGCTGCTGGAAGTCGTCCCCAAAAAAATATACCCACACGTATGGTACTGGTTGATGGGAACTACTCGTGGGTTCCATCCACCGCTTTCAGAAGAACGACAGCTCGCAATCCCAGGCCACAACTGCACGGCGGAAGCAACTTCGAAGACCACCAGATCTGGAGGCCTCTATTTTTCGAGGGCAGGGAAAGCTCGGAAAAGACTGATCTGTGGAAGTGTGAATTCCTGAATAGACTAGGAAGAAAGACCCTGTCACCACATAGATGTAAAGATATATCGACAGAAGGAAACACCCATGCATTGGCTGATCTTTGGAGAGCACACTGCTTGGAAGGATTGAGAAAAAAGACAGCAGTCTCCGACAGGTCTTGTTTGGTTTCGTCTTTGTTGCTGCAAAGTGAGCGACCTGCTCAAAGCAAACGGCTGTTCAAGCCGTGATTTGGCACGAGCATACCAGACAGAAAGAACCAAAAGAGAACTGTGACAAAGAGCTCCTAGAAATAGCAGTTATAGAAGCACCAATCTCCAATGAAGGTGCCGAGCGTCTCTGGGATCCGACGATCACATCCCCAAACGCAGCACCGGTCGCTGCAGGGCCTACCGGCGCGAGGCCACGTCGAGGACCGTGGCGATGTCAACGGCCAGGTCGGGGGACTGGAACGACGTCGGAGAATCCGGTGGGTTTGGAGCTGCTACGACGTGTTGAAAACTGTGAGACACCCACATGAATGTTGGTGAAAACAAACGTGATCAGCTACTGAATCAGAATAATGCCAGGCGGTAGGCCGGTAGGCAAAACAAGATGATGGACTTTGGAAACTGTGGTTTGGGATCTTTGTTGAGTTTTCGAGAATGAATGGGCAACCGCGGCTGGCGCCCGTTTGAAGAACATTGAAGAACCTAGATCCTTGCGCAACAGGCGAAGAAACTGGATGGGCCAGCTACACTCAATGGGCAACATCATAAGAGTCAGCAAAATGGCGAGCGACAGGAGCTTTTTCATCCTGAGCTGCTTTGTCTCGGCTTTTTGCTTGGGCACCCAGTGTTTGGACCCGACGTTCTTGGCAATGGTCTTTCAAAAGACATGAGTAGGTGGTCTTGTGTCTTTGATCAATTCAGACCAATGGTTTGGTCAGATTATGTCAGTTTGCTTAAGGCAAGATAGGGGTATGCTGCAATATGCTGGTATCCTCCAGCATGTCCGACTTGCCCACCCGGAGGAAGCTCGGCCCATCTCCATGTACGAGCAGGTGAAGCGCAAAGATTGGGCGCAGTCCTTCTACTGATGCCTCCGACCACCCAGAGACACCCACGGACACCGACCCAGGGTTTCACACTGTCCACCGAGCAGGTGAGAGGCCCTTTACGGCTGCCAGGCACGGAACGCAGGCGTGAGAGCCATGTGGCCGCCGTTCGGCGAAGTCACGAGAGATCTGCTCAAGCTGCTGTGGTGACCGGTTTGAGGAAAGCTGTTTCGAAAGCTAAGCGAACGAGGATCGACGACCGTCACAGATGCGCTTGAGACCAGATGGACGACCGAAAGAGACGGAAAGCCGAGCGAAAGAGAAGCTGGATTGGCTTCGCTGGAGTGGTAAGGTGGCGAAGCTATGGGGAGCTAATGTGGCACTGCATTTGGGAAGCCTTAGCAGGTGGCATCACCTGCTCTTGTGCTAGCATTCTGCCGCTCCGGTGATTCGAAAAGGGAGTGAAAAAGAAGGCGGCTGTGCTACTGGTCCTCGGAGGGAAGCCGGAAGAGATCATCACGGTTAAGTAGTCCGCGTAGTCACTTCATTTGAGTGTGAGAAAGCGTTTAGTTTAGACTGCTTTATTGGATCCGAGTAGAGTTGGGTCCGTTTTGGGAAGAGCATATATCATCCTTTCTTTGGCCGTTTTTGATCCAGATGCCTTTGATGATCATTCAGGAGAGCCAGGTTTGTTAGATGGACCTAGATGGAATGTGGTTTGTTTCTGTGCTCGGCAGGCGAGGATATGGCTGCTGCCAAGGAGAGCAGCCGCGGGAGCAGCCATGCATAAACCATCGTTTGATAGTCGTTGTGGGCATTATGGATCTTGTAAGGAATGGTTGAGTTCAGCCATGTTCAGCCCAAAGTGTGGCCTTTGCTTCTTATCTAGCTGCCAGCTAGACTCGAATGTTCTAGGCACACAGGGCCTGCAGGGCATCTCAGGATTTAGGTAGGAAATGCTTGCATAAGTTCAGCTTCATGAAGGTTTATGAAAGGTTTCTTTATCACAAACTGGACACTTTGAGTCACTTTCATGATATTCTCTGCAACTAAGCTGCCAGCAGTGCTAGCAATACTTGACCGCTTCCTCTTGGGCTCGAAGCAGACGAGCTCGGCGAGTAGATCCGTCAGCTGCGTCGGGCGATGAGACTCGTCGCGACTGGGAAGAGACCTCGAAATGGGTGAAGACGGTGAAGTCTTCTGTGAGAGTGGTTCATCATGTTCATCCTATACCCATGGGGAGGTACAGTTCTTCAAGTTGTTTCCAGTTTGGAGAGGCAGTCACCACGTGCCACATACTGCCCACACAGGGAAAGATCTGCGATCGGCACTCAGGAAGTTCCTGTTTTTCCTGCTCGGTCTGGCGAAAGCCGATCTCGCGGTTTGCCCGGGCGAGGGAGCACGCTACCAGGAGCTGCCACTCTGATGTTCTCCAGTGAGGGAGTACAGAGCAGGGCAGGGGGAGCCTGACCTCCTGTACACATCATCACGCATAGACAGAATATGTATGGAAAAGTCTCATTATAGAAAAATTATTGGATAATATTGGATTTGTTGTGAATGCTCGAAGTCCTTCTTGAATGTCATCATTTTTGCACCCACGCCAACTTGTCCTGAAAAAGATCCCCTCATGCTCCTCCCTGCCTGCGCTGAAATGCCCTCGGAGGACTTCAAATGCGATCACGATCCCACGCACCGCGTCTGCGCACAGCTCCTGAGTGACGAAGGAAAGCCCTTGGATTGGGGAGCCGCTTGGAGCCACTGGTGGAGTTGAGGATTGATTGGAGGAGTTGGGGGAAGAGGGGGGGGAAGAGTTCTGTGGGATGTTTGTTATAGATCTTGGGTCTTGTGAAGATTCCTGGAAGATGAGCAGACATTCTCCAGATGTATGGAGGTCAGCATGAGGGAGTCGCAGTCTGATCATCTTCTTTCAGTTGGGCTTCACTTCTGTCAGCGCACGACACTGCGCCACGCCATGATGGCTCACCACCGCTCACAGTGACCGCGCCAAGCAGGCGCGACGAATCGAGTAAAGCAGTTTTTGGCTCAGTGGGTGGGAGGAATCAGCAAGTGGAGAGTGGCCATGAGATGCCATGAGTGGCAATTGAAAAAAAACACTCATGTCGAGTTGGACGACTAAGGTTGATTCATCATCGATGCGTCGCCTTGTGTGGTGGAGATGGGATATACACTCATAAGTACACTCATATACTGTAAATTGGTAGTAAGATAACAACATGTGTTGTTTAGAGCGATTTGATGTGAATGAATCAATCTGAAGGGGTGTCGTAGACTTGGTGCGGCTTTGCTTGGACGTGTTCGTGAGTTCATGGCGCCACTGCCGTTTGGGCAGCCCGCTGGCCCACCGGTGATAGATGAATGCTTTGCTGCGAAGTGGATGGCTAACACTGACCCTGGCCAGTTTGCTGGAGAGGAAGGAGCTTGGACCCGTATCAGTCGAACACTTCCATGGGGAATTCTCACATGATGCCCAGGGGCAGGTCAATACTGAATACATCTCATGAAGATGAGGTCGTCATGCATTTTCCTGAAAGTTCCGCGGCCATAGGGTGAAAAGTCCAGGTCTCACAGTCACAGCCTGCACAACGGCCGTGGCTTCTTGTTGCGCAGGAGGAATGCGAATCTCGAGGTGGAAGTTTGGTTTGGGTTGCCCTGCAGATGGCCCACAGCGATGGGCAAGAGGCCTGGCCCATGTTGACGTGCTGGGTCGAACACATGCGTTGCCTGAAGAACAGTGGCTCGTTTCTTTATTTATCACAGCCTGCTAGTAGCAGGTGTGCCACGGCTTAAAGGTGTTGCTAATGCAAGTACTTTAGGGTAGCATCACGTGCATCCCCAAGAGTGCCACTCAAGACCCAACACGAGCTAGGCACCTTAGGGGCGAAGTGAAATGATAAAGGCCAAGTAGCCACGAACTACAAAGGCCTGTAGCAAAGACTCAAGCACAACAACTTCATCACACTCTTGTGATGAGGCCACCACTCCGCTGGTCCATTTGTAAAGTTCCCGCCCACTTCGTATGACGTGCAGCCAAAGAGAGAAGCTCAGGACTTGTTTGAAGCCTTGCTGGTGGAGCCCTTTACGCCTGATGATACGGAGGAAAGAAATCACATTTGCTTCTCGACTCGATGCATGAGTGATTGTTTGTGATTATCACCATTGACCAGCTGGTTATCCTATTCTCTCGGTTTTGCTCAGCCCTTCCCTTGGTTCTCATTGCCAGGCCTTGGCTTCCACCATCCGAGGCATCCCGCGGAACTGCGCGGGGAAGGACGAGATCTCCTCGGAGCATTGCATGAACGTGAAAGGCCGGGATGGCCGGCGGAGGCATGTGGCGATATCAAGGTGATAGAGCAAGAGCCTCAAAGGGGCGCGCAAGAGCCGAAAGAAGATCTCCTGGAGTTTAGCTCCCCTGGATCCGTTCCCGTTGAAGGCGTTTTGTTTGATCACTCCTTCTGAGTTGCCAAAAGGCAGCTGTAAGGCACCCCCACCCCCCCTGGTTCACTCCTTTTCTGTCTCATGCGTCCCTGCAGGTGCCCCAGCGATACTCCAGGGAATTGGGTTCGGAATTCGAAGAATTGGGGTAGGCATGTTCTTCAATCAGTGCCGTACTGCGGAACCGTCGGCTTTCCGAATTGCGAAGGTCGACTCCCTTAATGGTAAACAATGAGGGCGTAGCGAAGGCCAGACGGGGCCGAAGTGATCTCGTTTCCAAAACGCAGAGAAGGCCGATGAGTTCTGTATCAACCCATGGCCGACCACCAACCAACGTGATCTCTATGGCAGGTTCTGTGCTTGGCAGCTTGTTGGAGGCACATCAGAAGGTGAATGGCGGATTGGGTATGGACCATTTGTTCCAGACGACCCTCCAGCAGCAACATTGGATGCTGAAAGGACTGAATCACAGTGAATCCGATGGTGGCCGAATTGAATGAAACAACTGCGCAAGAATTGACCTTCTTGACTCATATGGGAAAAACACCTAAGAACACATCCTTGCTTGCATATATGCTTTGAAGTTTGAAGTAAGGTAAGGCGTTTATATTTGACAACTGCAAAGATGGAGAAACACAGATGACAACTGCAACTTGTTTATAACCATGTGTTTTTACAATATCTTGAGCGAACCAATTGTCCAGTCTTTGTTACTTTCCTGAGGAGTTGAAGATCACCAGCCTCCATTGCCACTCTCCCACCTTTGGAGTGCGCAGCACGCGGCGCCTGCAGCGCCGCCTACGGTGATGGCGTGGCGCTTGGTGGTGCTGAGCAGCCACGCGCCCCTGGCGGCGCTGGTGGCGGAGCATGTGGAAGAGATGGTGCCAATGGAGGTGGTCTACTATGGTTTCTGGAGAATGCGATGCTTTTTTAAAGGGGGGCACCAAATACAGATTTGATAAGTATGCTTGAAAGATCTTGAATTATGTTTTTAACTATAGTCCTTTGCACAATTTGATTCTCGCCGTTCTTTTACCCATGTCAGCAAGGTCCATTTTCTTTCTCCACATCCTCATCCATCCTGGAACATCCTGAGGTTCCTGCTACCTGTGCGATCACACTGCGACCTGCCGCACGCGCCACGTGCCCAGCCGCGCTGACGGCGCTTGCACTCTGTGGCACCACCCGGACGAGGCGACGCCCAAGGCGTGGCTCACGGCGGTGGAGGATGTGGCACGGCGGGAACGCGACATGGCGCAGCTGGTGATGTGCTTCGGCCTGGCCTTGTGCCCTGGACTCAGGTTCGATGTGTTTGAGGTTTTGGAGTTGAGAGACACTGGATGCATGAGGTGAGTGAGAGAGGTGATTTGTTTAGAGTAGTGTTTAGGGTCTGTTTGTTTTACTACTTTTTGGCGAGTTGAGGTTTGTTGAACGGAACGGAGGTGGTTTCTTCATTGAAGGTCACATTTTCTCGGCAAGTTTGTAGCAATTCCAGGTGCCACTTCTTCTTCGCATTGATGCTGCTGGGCGAAATTGGCCGTAAATTTAAGACATTATATAAGCAAAATAAACAGGGGCCCCTCTGGATGGTTCATGCACACACCCTTCACTGGCACAACCATTAAACCATAAGGCTATTCTTCAACCAATCTACCAAACTCCAGTTCAATCTTTAGCCCTACAAAGCCATTGCGGCTAGAACCACTGGAGGTGGCATTTATCAGAACGCGCGCCTCCCCCTCAACCGGAACGAGCCCGTGCCGAACATCGCGACGTCGTTTGGGCGGCAAGCACGGAATTCTGAGGTTGGGCATTCCCAGGATCCAGATTCTGTGCATGAACCCGCTGCAGGGAACACCCTCACCACTGGCCCCCTTGATGCTGCTGGATCTACGACGACGAGTCTTCGAAGATCGGGTCACTTGGCAAAAAGGGAGTCTGGAGAGTTTGAGTTGATTATGAAGTGGAAGACCACTTTCTCCCTACGTACATAGGTCTTTTTTGACACTGACCTAAAGGATGATGGTTTTTGGCCGTCATTCTATATGCCCATGCAAGGCGTCAGACATGCTCGCACTATCTTGCAATTGTTTAGTTTCATGGTCTTTTGATATACTGATGAGATGTGCAAGGCAAAATAGCCAGGCACCCTTCCAGCGACAGGGGCAAGAGCACGCATCGCGAAATCCAAATTCAGATGGGACCGGAAGGTCCATTCCTGTTCACTCACCTTTTGTAACCGGATGGACCTTCTGGTGATACCAGGCTGGTGGGAGACTTCAGAAACCAGCTATATACCTTGTTATCACCAGCCTGGTTTCTGTCCAATCCCCCACCTGTCTCCCACCCACCTCTACCAGGACAACGACCAGATCTTCGTGACCAACGGCGTCACTCGCGCTCTCCTGGGCTACCACGCCGGCGCCGACGTGGCGGCGCGCGTGGCGGTGACGACGTTCTTTCGGAAGCGACTCATGGACTGGAGCCGTGCCGTCCCCTTCGGCGGCGCCTCCAGGAGCGGCGTGCTTGACGACCTGTCTGGTGGGAGCGTGCTTGAATTCAATGTGGTGATGAGTTTAGGTGAAGAGGGATCTGAACAAAGACAATCTCAACTGGAATTCTTGGGGGGTTGCCCTGGCGTTGACTCACGTAACCCTCCCCAAACTGGTCCCTCACATCTCGGACGCATCAGCAGCATCCGGACGCATGTTTGGGGGGATCGCAGCGGTTGCCAGGACGGTCTTGCTCTCCTCCAGCTTCATCCTCCAGGTGCACAGCGACGCTTCGACAGCTGCTGATAAAGCGTTTTAGCTCCATATGCGTTGTGCCACATCTATGATCCCAAAATCATCCGGGCCAATGGCACTCTGACCGTGAACCGTGAACACGAAAAGATTCCGCCCAAAAGCCGCAGCAGGGGGGGTTCCCCCACCCCTCGTCGTGCTGCCGCGCTGCGCCGTGTGGCTGGGAGGTCTCTTCGGTGTACTTGGCCTTCCGCTTGGCGTTGCAGGAACTCCTCAATGCGTTGGGGTTTGAGATGGCCGAACACCGACAGGACCCAGCAGGCCTTGTTTCTGTTTTAAAAATGTGTTCTATGATGGGTTGGGGTGAAGGAACTGGTGCTACTATATCCCAGACACTCCATGTATGCCATATATGCCTACATTGGGGTGGTTGGAGGGTTCAATGTAGGCATATATGGCATACATGGAGCGTCTGGGTATAGTACAATGCAAGACACCAAGAGTTTTCCATCTCTCGTTAAACCCAGCCAGTTGCGGTTTCCATGTCTTGATCCAAATGCCGCGAAAACGCTCCATGTTCGTCCAGGACGTGTTCTGGACGCTTCAGAGCTCTGGTGATGTGGCCGGCTTTCTGCAGCAGCTGGGCTACTGGCTTAGCGCTACACGTGTGGAAAGCATTGGAAAGCGAGATTGGTGATGCTACAAATCGTGGTTCAAGTGTTTCCATGTTCATCCAATTTCCAAAACGACCCAACAGATTCCCAGAGGGTGAAAGTGAAGGTCCAATGCTGCTGTTTGGTCGTTCCACGTCCGATTTGTCTTTACGTCCATGTATAACTATCATGCATTTGGGGAGGAAGAGCTCTGCCAAAGAAAGGCAGGATGATTCAAAGCTGGGGTGATCCCGCATGGGGGATTTCCAAAGAAGTCTTGCCAAAAGGGGATGTGTTCATCCAAGAGACAGTCCGTTTGAGGCTTTCCAATAGGTACTGACAAGATATTCACCAAACCAAGTCATTTGGTTTGCACTTTTGACCCACTTAGGCATGCCCTCACCGTCTACATCCCAGAGCATCCCTACAAGAACTACTTCAACGATGCCCGGCGCAAGTACTATTCTTGGCGGAACGTTGGGGCTTCTGAGAACTGAGACGGGCGACAAAGACGTTTATGCAGTAGCTGCCTATACCCATACTTCATTCCCCCCCCGGAATGATCTCAACCGATGACGACATGGGAGCAGCTAGCTCCAGACCTTCCCTTTCCGCAGCTCGCAACCAGCCTCCAGCTCCTTCCAGTCGCCAGCCTCGAGGATCTCTACGCCATGCGCTTGCCCATCTACCTTCCCAGCATCGACTTCATCGCCCGCTTCTGGCCCGAGGCGCGCCTGCGCCCGGGCAAACCGGCGGAGGGGTGATGTCGCTGGATGCGAGGGGATGACGTGGGAGATGGGCTTTGAGGGGTGATGGGGTGACTGGTAGTGTGCTTCACCCATGAATTGCTGATCCAGTATAGCTTGGAGTTGCTTGTAATTACATATGTGGAACAATTGGGAGAGTAGAGGAGACCTCAAGAAAACCACGTCAAATACCGTTGAATGATGTCTTCTTCTGCGAGGACAACACAGAATTCACGAGGAACTGTAAACCACCTCCGCACTTCTCCGTAATACCATGGAATACCATTCTTCACATTTCTTTACTTCTATATATTGTTTCTACTATCTTCTTGTTACTACAAGTGAGGCACTTGTTACTAGAAGCGATGCACTTGTTTCTACTAGCTTTTTTCTATCCTTTTCCCATTTGTTCGGCCACCCGGAGGTGAGATCGCTGGACACGGCCCAGTGCTACGACGGCTGGTTCGATCGGCGCTTGCCCCGCACGCGCCTCACCGAGCCGAGCGCCGAGAGCGAGAGCCCTCTGCCGGAGCCCTTTGACCTGAGCGATGGGGGGCTACGAGAAAGTGAGGCATCCGAGAAAGACCCAAAAGGAAAGCGAAGTGTGAGGGAATGCCCTGGTGGTGGCATGCTGTGAATAAATGTGATGAACATGTGTCATATGTACTTGGATCACATAGTTGAGGAGTAGTTTCAGAAGTTACTATTGAATTTGATAGGCGCTTAATTATGGTTATTTGGGAATGTTCCAACAGCTGGGTGGTTCGATGGATGAACCATGTGCGCCAAAGGTCTGATGTAGTCCGAAGTTAAGAGTGGAACTTCACTCAGTCAGTCTATGTATAGCATGTGTAGCTGTCATTTTCCACTCGCTTGCTGGATTGATCTATATTCCACTCCACTTGCAAGAACATCATGAACATCATTCAAAACAGAGTCAAACTCGCTCCTGGTGTTCATTTTGACCTCCTTTCCAGGACCTGGTTGGCTCCTGCGGATTACTTCGCCTTCCCCGGCATCACGATCTTCCAAAGCCTCGCCCAGCTCCACGCCTCGCTCGCCGACCTTGACGACGCGCACAGCTCGCACCTGGACGCCGTGCGGGAGCAGATGGCCAGCTTCGCAGTGCAGCGGCGAGAGGAGGCCGCGCAGCTGCTGTCCAGGGTGCTGCGGCCTGTCGTGTCAGATGCTTCAGGCGATGCGGGTGGGGTTTGTTTGAGAGCGGCAGAACTTTTGGCGGTGGTGGGCAGTAGTTCAGGCAGGAGGGAGAAATATGTAGCCAGAGATTGTTGCGGGGAGTCAAGTCAGGTCGAGGTCGAGGTTCATGGAATGGATGTATAAGCCTTTGATCGTGGACTTGTGAGTGAACAGCCTCGGCCGATGTTAATCGACAGGTGGGTGAAGCTGATTTCCAGAAGTGAAGAACACAAAGGAGTGGCTCTGATAGCTCCACGCCTTTCGCACGCCTGATGGATTGGAGGGCCTCATCACTGGCATCTACTCCTCTCTCCAAGATTTGTAGTGCATGATGTGGTGCTCAGTTCCTGGAATTCTTTTGTTTGAGCATGAAGATGATGTTCCTTGCCAAGCTGAAGCTGTCAGAAAGAATATGTGTTGATGGAAGCCATGTTGGATTTGGTGCATTTAAAGGCTTACAATGAGATTTGACCATACCTGATACTAGATACCATCCCCCCCACAAGCAAAACTTAAAGGACAGTGACATTGACATATTGGTGATCAGTGGTCAATTTTACTTGAAGACAATTCGCTGTGAATTGAGATCTGAGTTTACCTCGCATTCCTACGAAAATCCGAGGCACCCTAACTCTGAGCTCTACAGAGCTTTACAGCTCAGCGCGATGGTGGCTATGAGCTCTACGACTCTGTCGAGAGGGCAGCTGCATATGGCTGGACAGATTGTCCGCCAGAAGGTGTCCACGGAAGGTGTCCAGATACGGAGTGAGGTTCACCTTTGTGCTGAGAAGAAGGACCTGTTGTAGACAGCTGCAGTTGTTGACAGTGCGTAAAAATGCGTGGTTCCTACCAAAAGGAATTGGGAACTTTTCGTGCCGTGGCGATGCGGAGATCCCCGAGAGAGCCCAAATTGTTTAGCCTTGACACTTTCAGTGTATTGCCCACTTCGTGACCTACTGAGACCTACTGTATTGCCCACTTGAAAGTGGAGAAACTCATTTACCAGAGGAGCTTATGATTCTATTTCACTGCCGTGATCCGTCAGTGTTCTTTCTGTGTCTGACGTGTTGAAGATTAATCAACCTCCAAATGCGTTGATTTTGGAGAATGCGAAGACTTGCAAAGACCTTCACTAAGCGGGTCATTGATCAGGTCAGGTGAAGAGCACCACTTTGGATAAACACATGGCCGCATGTTTGGACACCACTTTTTGGTTCAAATCTCAAGCTTTTGGCTTGACAATTGCTGCAGAAACTCTGTCAAACCCGCCCTCACTGCTTTGCGCTTGGCAGCGCTGGTTCTATTGAGCAAGATGGTGTTCGCGGAGGGCTCCATGCTAAGCACTCTCACTTTGGCCACCATTTGGGCTTTCTTTGTTTCGTTGGGAGTTGCAATCTATCTGATCATCAAGGGGAAGTACATTCAGATGCAGAAGCTGATGTTGATGGTCACCATCATTGTGACTCGACTCTGCTTGCCATGTGTGCCATCACCATCCTGTTTCGAGCATAATGAACATTACATCGATATGTCACGGGCGCATTTCGATGTTGAGGTTTCGAGCATGACACGCTTCCAGAAGCCTGCTTCCAATTCCCCTTTTTGCCATAGAAAGCATCCCCCAATCCCCCAACTCGATTGACGCCCTTAGAAAGAATCAGAAAGAACACCACTTCAAGACTGAACTGGTTTTTGGGCGGCAGGAAAAGCCTCCTCATCACCATCCTTCCCTTGTCACCATTCATCCTCAAGTCGAGGCGAATTTGCGTTACTCGGTCTTCGGCATCAAAGGCGCCATCAGTTGGGTCACCAATTTGTCGGACGCCTTCACCGACCTCCTCGTGGGCATTGATGACACCTGTGCGTCGGAGGCGCCGGCCATTTGCATGGAGCTGCCGGGGAATCCCAACAGCTTGCGAGGTATACCGGGCATCCCAGCTGGGTGACTCGGAGTGGAAAACACGGGGCAGTTGAGGGATGGAACGGCCGTGTTCGGGGGGGAGGTGGAGGTAGATGGAAGTGAGTACCTATAGCTTAGAGGTCATGGTAGGACGCATGGTCGGACGCATGGTCGGACGCGAGGTGTTTCTCTTTGGAACATGGTCAAGTCAGGTCTGGCCGGTCCATGCCCGGAGACGGGTCCGTGGCACATCGCCCACGGTGGATGCCGGGTGCCGGTGGCCCCTGATCGGTGCCCGATGAGGTGAAGTAATTTTGTCAAGTATAAAAAACTGGTGGATATGATGTGGATATGATGTCGATATGTCTTGGAAACTGGTTGACTTTGGGTAGAAGAAAGATCTGACTCTTGTGTAGTATGTGTTTGGGATTGTTTGGGTATTAAGGCCAAATGAAAAGCACACGGCATAGAAAGGGCAGTTTGCGGTAAAGGACTGTTTGCGCTTGATACATGAAGGTCGCCAGCTTCCATGTCAGGTACCAGGCATTGGTGTGGCCTCACATCCACGTCGTTGGGCCAGCCCACCGCACCGCCTGAACTGAGGCCACCGACTTGTACCAGTTGTTTGGTGAAGGTCCGACCGTCGATCAGATTTGCATGCACATCCACGTTCTCAGCATGACACTCGTTCCTTGGTGTCATGACACTGATCAGGACCGTCAGGGTGTGTGGTTTTTCGAAGGCCAGAGCTCTTCAAAGGCTCCAAACTGGCTTTTTGCATCGTTTTGGCAGTGGACTTCCCATAGATCTGGTGGGATTCCCGTCCGTGCCCAGCCTGAACGGAATCTTTGGGTTTGAACTTCTATTTTGCTCTTACAATCCTTAGATGCACCGATTGTGCACACATCCCAGCCGGCAACCACAAGCACGTGTACCCATGCAGTCGATGTCCGGAATTCCTCGAATCTTTGAGGGTCGACACTCCTCCAATAATGGTAATAAATTAATATAACTTGTTTGAAGTAGACCGTTTCCTGTTGGTCTCTGTAGCAACCATTGCTTGAAGCCAATCAAGTGAACTGTATCCGTATCCCGCCCTCACCCTGTTCTGAAGTCAGACCCGCGAAGTGAAGCCAACCTAGACTCAACATGCTCAACAACTCTAAGCTATATATAGCTTATTGAGGTGTTGAGAAGGTTGAGAGTTACAATAATAATATGCATTACATTCATTCATATGCTATAAAGTACAGTTGTCCTCCTAAGCTTCATTGCCCAATCACATCTAGTAGCCACATAACACCTTTAAGCATCTATCACCACCTTTCTTAAGGCCGTAAGGCCGCTTTCCCCACCCTCCCAGGCCTTGAGCATCTCGTTCCTCCATATCTTCGTGCTGCGCGGCAAGATCCAACGCCGCGCGGGGCAGCTGTCGGCGCTGTCCGCGGCGATCGGGGTGCCCATGGGGCTGGTGGTGGGGTTGACGAACACCACCTCAGCGAGACTCGGAGATGGTGGAGGGATTGGGGGAGGGGATTGGGATTGGGAATTGTTGGGATGCTTTGGGGGGAGCGTTGTTATTCGATTTGGGATGGTATTGTTTAATGCTGGAGCCTGGGAGGCCCTTAGCAGCTGTTTGTGAGGGGTTGCTGACTTCTGAAGGGAAGGAGAAGGATCAAGACACACAGCATCGGACTCCGGATGGTGTGCCTCTGACCTCACTCGGACTATCTCGGACTTTGGTTGAAGCAAGGTTTGATCCTGTGTTTTTGTTAATGGATTCAGGGCGCCGATTTTTCAGGCACCAAATGATGTTTGAAGAACTTGGGAGAATTGCAGAACGGGAGCCATGGCCCTGCTGTATATCGATCGCCCAGCACCGTTTTTGAAGCCAAGCCTCGTCCGTGTTCCAGTGCCTAGGGCCTATGGTGGTATGTGGGCGGTCTATGGCTGGATGTGGATGGCAGGATCCAGCTTCTTCTTGTTGAGCAAAGGGGTTTTGGCCGTGCTGCAGGGCCAAATCAAGTCGCACAAACGTTGGATGACGCATTTCTATGTCTCCATGTGGTGTGACTTCTTGGCATCTTGGCTTTAAACATATCCAGCAAACCGGTGAGTCCAAATAGGGTGAATCCACGCAACGGAACGGATGAGAAGCCCCTGTTCGGGTCGGATTTGGAACAGGTCCAACGAATGCAGCTGCGCTCAGCTGCCATCCACTGGGGGTCAAATGAGATGGATTGGACTTATTGCGACTTTCGAACAGATTCCTGGAAGTCTGACGAGGTCGCTGAACGCTGCGTTCAGTGCACCGTGTGAAGAATCCATGGGCCCTTGAGAGAGGATTCCTTGGAGAGACCACATGGGTTGGAGGATATGATCCAGGATTTGTTTTAAAGACAACGGTTACCTAGTTACCCTTGGGTTTTTTCTCCTGTCCTGCTCTTGGGATTGCACCATGCCAGGGTCTCCAGGGTTTTGAGGGTCCTTCAGTCGTTCGATTCCGCCATCTTCCTTGCCTCCCGGCCTCCCGCGTCCGCGTTTTCACGCGCGCCTGGGCAGTCGCTCAGATCTTCCGTTTGATGCTGGTCGTCGTCACTCCCTTCGTCCGCCAGTGCATTAGTTGCGCCTTCTTGCCGATGCCTGGCAGTGAACTCGAATATTGATTGAAGATCTACTGAGCATGCCTTAAGAGGTCCATGTACATTGTAACAGGTTACCCTGCATGGGTGTTTTGTAAACTGTAGATCAAAGACAAACAAGATGACTTGCACAGGTTGACCACATCTTTCTGTACAGGCACCAGGCACCGCCCCAGGCACCGCCTCATCCGGTCCATCCAAGGATGATCTACTTGTCTCCATTGATCGGGCTGATTGCGGGCGAACTGGTCCTACGAAACAAGGACCGACAGCCGCCGAGGGAGGCGAGGGAGGTGACCTGAACGGCGCTCTGCGGCAACGTCTCGACGTACACATGCGGTGACGTCTCCCGAAAACAAGTCATTCGGTTTGCATCGCCCATTTTTAGTGCCAAAGGTGTCAGTCTTACGAAGGAGGCGCAATATAGAGACATCTTTCGTGGCAGGATACATTGGGTGCATTTATGTATTCTCTCGATCTATCATGTCTCATTTATGATATGTCCATTTTCATTGGTCTTGAATCTATCGAATCGATCTGGGGAGGCATATCACTAGGCCATGTCCTTCCAAAAGCAACTTGTGCCCTCACTTCACTCTGCCCTCCGAGCTGTCTTTTTCAGGCCGCTGTTGGGAAGGCACGTGCTTTCCCAAAAGCACATGTTCGGGTGGGATCGGAGGACAATGGAAGCTGGGCCTCCAACTATGACAAGATGAAGATCGCAAAACCCTGAGTGACCGAACGGATGGACATCTCTTGGATTCTCTTGGTGAATTGCGGTGGTGTGGGGCCCAGGCTTTGCGATCGATCGTGGATCAAGCCAAAAATTGCCATGACCTGTAACTTGCGCCCAGAGTTGGTACAATATCTCCATAGGAAGACAAGAATGTTTTATGATGTCTCACGTGTTTTTTAATTGTTTTTTGCTTCGCTGTTGGTCCTTCCCCACCGACCTTCGCCCCACTCGCTGGAGCGAACCAACCGTTACGGTGTGTGGGACCGCCGCGGTTCCCCGAGGGCTCCCAGGCGGCGGGCGAGGTCAGCTGCTTGACCAAGTCAAGCAGCTGCTTAGATCCCGAGTTCCGACTTCAGCTTAGAGACACATCTGTCAAAAATCAGAGAGAAGACGGGTGCGGGGTGCGCGAGGGTGTGGGTGTGGGCGCCCAGTGGGGCTAAGTAAGGTTCATCGCCAACAGGCCACTCTGAACATTTGTGTCGCTACCAAAGCAGTTACCGGACATGTATACAATGGCAGTTTACACCTTTTCTTAAAGTGACCCCTCCTGCGATCGTTTGTGCGGCCTGTGACACTTCGCTTCCCAACGCCTGAGGTGAAAGGTAATTTCTGGGAGATCACAGGGCAGACAGCACCTTGGCTGGTCAGAATTGGTGGATCGACCAGACCACAATTGGTCAAGCAGAGCTATCAGGCTATCACGTACTTTCCTATGGGCACTGTACGACATGCACATACCTATTATATGCCCTTGCTTTCCTCTCAAAGTTTCCACTTTGCATACTGCTCTGGCTGCTATGCTGCTTTTTTCTCGAGCTTTGAGCCACACAAACATGCTTACATCATCTTACATCAATCCACCTGCCAGCTTCTCGCTTTGTTTCACGTCTTCTTCGTGTGCTTGCTTTCTCACACGTTTCACTTGCTTCTCTCTACTTCCGCTGCTCCCTGCGCTTCCTTTGCCCAGGGAACCTCGCCTCACACAGCTTTTGGCACCACATCATGCCGCTGCGCTGCTAGCAATCTGCTGCATCTGCCTGCAATAATATCGCCTGCAATAACGTACATAAGATAAGTAGTGAAATATACATGCTACACACTTCAATTTTGGTCAAGTAGTAGAGCCAGAGAGACACAGCCACGATGACGATGACTCTCGACTTTAAGGACAAGTCTATTTTGTTCAGGTGAAGTTCATATACATATATTTGTTCCAATTGTTTGTTTTGAATGTGCCTGGAACGATGCGCTGTTGCTTCTGGGGCATGGCATCACCATGTGTTCTTTTATTAAAGCCCAGTCACGGAAGGCAGACGAGGAACAAGGCACGACCGCGCGCCTTTTTCTGCCAAGGCATTCCAATGGGACTCCGAAATTCGCAAAAACCATGGCGATAGCTGGTGCATTTGCTGCTTGGGCGAGATGATTTGCTTGGTTTGTGTGAGAGAAAGACTATACATGCAGTGACTAGTGACTAGTGTCCCAAAGGAAACCAGCTCGCGGATTTTGGGGGGGCCATTGGATACAAGTATTCTTACATATTCTTACCATTTCCTACCCCAACCACCCTTGATCGACATAGACTAATAGACTGCACAAATCCCACATCTATAGTTCCTGTATATAATATCCCCATGTATCCCCCATGTTGTTGATGTATAAATATTGTATAATAACTACGGTTCCTTGTTACTCGCCATCCCTCGCTTCCCAAAAAAGCCGAGACCCCCCGACCGACACCCCCCCCCCGCGCCTGAATCCCGATGCCGGTCGTCTCCGACAAGGCATGTGGGCCACGGCGCGTTTGATCGCCACGGTGGGCTGCGAGAACGTTCACCTCCGCTGCGACGCCACGGACGTGGCCTACGTGGAGAAGAGCTGCTGGAACAGGGCGGAAGTGGGTGATGGGTGAGGGAAGTGGAGATATGTGGGGTGATGGGTGATGGGAGCGGGAGGTTGCTGGAAAGCAGTGGAATGGGCTGGTCGTATAAGGTCATGACTTTTTGGAGACCGTAGGGGACTGCGTCCTGGAGGGCGTCAATCTGGCTGCAAGGACCCCTTCAATGTCTTTGTTTGGTTGTATACCTTTATCATTCTTTAAATTCTTGATCTTTTGCTCAGCTAGAAGAGGAACGTGATCAGTTTCCAGGTCTCTCAAGTGAACCGGTGATCACACTAACGTGTTCCTTTCATATCTTTTCTTGCCATGCGGACAAGGAGACCTTTCACCTGACCGACAATTGCTGGAAGATAGCAATGTCGGTCAAGCAGACTATATCTTTGCAATTTGTTTCACATAATGCAACCATTTGAGATGGTGCGCAAGCGTTATGGAGGCAATCGGTCTCCCATTCTTGGGCACTCAATGCTTGACATCCATGCTTGATTTGCTTTTTTTTTGTATTTTGTTAGAAGGTTATGAGTCGAGAATCCAAGGACACTCAGCAGACCCAAAATAGTACTCAGTACTCAAAGACCATACGCCAATGTACGCTACGTATTGCTACATCAGACAAGAGGGATCCTCTTATTATAGTTAATTCGGTCATGTCTCACTGCTTGAGGAAGATGCTTCTTTTCTTTTGGTCAACTCGTTGGTTCAGTTTCTTTGGGATGGAGCGTCTCTGTGGGGTAGACGTATGTCGGTGGGGCGTCGAAGTTGGCGTTTCGACTGCGGCCGAGGCTATTCCGATGGAGGAGTGGACTTAGCCCCAGCCAAGGAATGCTTGCAGAAGCTGCTCGCCACCGTCCGGTCCGACGGGGTCGTGAGTGTGAAGAGGCGAGGGCCTAGGCCGTGAGCTGAGCTTCGGTGGTTTTTGCCGACTCCTTTGCCCTTCTTTCCATGCCTTTTGCTTGAAGAGAAGTATTCCAACACTCCCATCATTTCTTATTTATCTCCTATTTAAGTATAGATGGAGCAACCCTTGGTTGATCACGCCTGGTGCATTGTTACGGGCGGTTTCTTTCACCCTCAGCACGGTATTTGTTGATTGCCATGATGCCAGTCATCAAGATTCCATCCAAATACCTCCGGAAGGCTTCATTGTCATCACTTGAAGCTCGAATTTTGCTTGAGCCCTTTGCCAAACAGTGTTGGTACCATCCTTCCCTCGCCAGCCGTGACAAGCCGTGACTTCGTCAATCGTCGATGCCACCACTGGGTGGTTTGCGCCACCGAAGATCAATGTATTTGACAACTAGACTACCAATATATGCCAAGAGAGAATAGGTTTACGTCATTCGGGTGGATGGAAACGATCTCAAGAACTCCAATATCCCAGCTTATTTATATATAAGCAGACGCTGTAATTCCTTTCATCCAACACCTCCCCAATGTCCTGCCCCGGTTCCCGGCTCAGCCCGTGGTGAGGAAATGCAACAGCTTGGCCCTTCAGCGCTTGGACGATGCCACCACACCACGACTACGACTGGGCCGGCTGGCGCCGGACCTGGCAGTGCCTGCGCTGATTTGTGGCCTGGTCGCTGTGGGATTGGTCGCCTTCCGACGACGAGGCGTCGGCGTTTCGGCGTCGCGTTTCGGCTTTGGCAAAGGCTGGGCGCGAGGGCGGAGGAGCGTGGGAGGTGGTGGAGAGAGATGTTTTTGGTTCCGTCTTTTTTGGTTGGAGTGGAGGAGGTTGAACTGGGAGCGACTGGGAGTTGTTCCGTTTGGTTGTAGTATACATAGTGGATGGAACAAGTGGATAGAAATGATACAACCTGAGAAAGGTCAAACTAGCTTGATGGCCTTCTTGGCCAGACCGTGTGTGTTTTTGGCGCTCAAGAGCTGACCAAGAACAACCTCCACAGAAAACGGCTTTCACAAACGGAGCGCCACCCGGGACAACCGGGGCTGACTCCGGGACCACCGCGTCACGGGAAAGTGCTCGATCGGACGGGCACTGAGTCCGCCAGGCAGCGAATCGCTGGAGGTGGAGTGAGGCGCGATTCGCCGTGGCCGTCGATTTTCGCGCGCCCCTGTATAGGAGTGGGCGCGCCCCACTGTGGCGCAGGTCCGTGATTTCGCCGGTGAACTCACCGCGAAGGATATGCTTTGTAGTTGTGGGAGGTTGCAAGATGTTGCAAGTACCACCATCCCAGTGCCAAAGCTTCGCGCCAAAGCTTCGAACAAAAGGCCTGTGCGAGACTGGGCGTCAGAGAATGGGATGTAGAGAGAAACGTAGACGCCTGGGCCCCCCGTTTCGGGGTTATGAATATAGCGCATTATAGCACCTTTAGAAGTTAAGGGGTGTCCAAGTCAACCACCCCTTAAATAGGCGGCCCTGGTATGAATTACCCTATTTTCACAATTTTTGATCTTTTGAACGTGCCAATTGAAATCTGGGTGACCGTCGCTGATAGAACACATGCATCTCACAGGCTCTATAATGAAAAAACATATTCCAGTTACCACAGTGTTGCACACCCAAGTTGTAAACAATCAAGACCGTTTTGCGATGTTTTGCGTAATGAATCGAAGAGTTGTCCAGCGTTTCTCCCAGACCCATTGATCCAAGAAACCTGCTCGGAGAAAACCCTTTCAAGGACGGTCTGAAAAACACAGGTTTCGTCCTGGTTTCGTATCTTTCGTCCGAGTCATAAATCAGGACCTCGTCCTAATTGAACAACCTGGTTGTGGAAAAACGCAAACCAGGACCCGGTTCGTTTAGTTTATTTGGAGGTTGTTGGAGTGCGAAACCCGTCGGTCCTCCGCTTTCCTGAGCCATCGGCAGGCCGCTTCGCAGACCGGTCGAGCGGTTCGCAGACCGTTCGGACAGTGCGACCAATGGAAGTCTACAAAAAGAGAGCCATGTGCTATACACCCCATGTGCACGCCCCAAAAAATTTGCAAATCACCACATTGGTCCCACATGTTTTTCTTAATGTGATATGATATCTCCAGACGCGGTCCGATTTGAAGCTGCTCCGGACACCCCAACACTGGGCCCATGGAAATCGGTGGAGTTGTTTGGGAGTGCCCGGCGTGGCCGTTATTATTCACACATAAAGTAACGCAATATCAAAAAGGAAAACAACTAGACGACGAGTGGCTCGAAAGCATTTTTCATCACGTATGAAGTCAGAGTGTGAGTTATGTGTTAAGTGTTCAGTGTGAAGTGTTAAGTCGAGTGAGTCGAGTTCTCATCTTCCAGCTCCCCAGCTATTCCGCTTACTACAGTTGTACTACCACGTCGCCAATTCTCATCTTCCCGCTCCCCACAGACTCCGCGTATGGAGTTGGTGCTACTACCCACTCGCCAGTTCTCGTCTTCCAGCTCCCCAGATACTCCGCGTACTCAAGTTGTACTACCAAGTCGCCAGTCTCATCTTCCAGCTGCCCAGATACTCCGCATGCTATAGTTGTCCTACCAAGTCGCCAGTTCTCATCTTCCAGCTCCCCAGATACTCCGCGTACTACAGTTGTACTACGACGTCGCCAGCTCTCATCTTCCAGCTCCCCAAGTACTCCGCGTACTATAGTTTTACTACAAAGTCGCCAGTTCTCATCTTCCAGCTCCCCAGCTTACTACAGTTGCACTACAAAGTCGCCAGTTCTCATCTTCCAGCTCCCCAGATACGTGCGCGTGGGACAAGTCGCCCTCTCGCCTGCTTTTCGCGCACTCGACCCGCACAGTCTCAGCAGAGGGTTGCACGCGCATGGGGCAAATCGCACTCTCGCCTGCACTTCGCGCACTCGACCCGCACGATCTCCGCAGAGGGTTGCGCGCATGGGACACATCGCACTCTCGCCTGCATTTCGCTCACTCGACACGCACGATCTCCGCAGAGGGTTGCGCGCATGGGACACATCGCACTCTTGCCTGCATTTGGCGCACTCGACACGCACGATCTCCGCAGAGGGTTGCATTTTCGGTTGACGCTGTTCGTGCCACCCTCCGCCTTTAAAGAGAATTTTTAAAGTGGGGAAATGTTTTTCATTAGGACATCTCCCGTGAAAGTTTTCAACTTTCAATACTCACTTGACGGCCGTTTTTCCACCCTCGATCCACTGATAAGTGGATAGAGTTGCTAGCATCCGCTTTCCGTCACCCAGTTCGAGGCTCCAGAAGCTCTTGAAGCGTCTACACAATTGTGTGCTGCCCAACAACTCGCACTTGGCCGGTAGTGAAATGAAATGAAAATATAAAATTTGGATGGAATAGTAAATTATATAGTAAATATAAATTAAGAATACAAATTTTAAAATAAACAAAATATATTATATAATATTCGATATATAAATTTCGTGATATATATAATATTTAATAAATCTGAATAAATAAATATTATAGAAATTATAAAATTTATTACATTTCGAAATGTAAATATTATAAATTGCTTTAAAAAAATCGAAATATAAAATTAATTATAAAAATACTATTATTTAATTTTTAATATGTAAAATTCGTAACAAATATAAATTAAATGAATATTAATATACTAGCGGCATCCATTGGTACATTAATTCTTGTACGTTTTGAAAAGTGGTTACGATGGTGGTTTCTGCTATTGGTGTTGGAAAACGCTCGCTTTCCACAAAAGTATACGAAACGATACTAGACCTTTTTACCCACACTATACACACACCCCCATGTATGTTTGTTCATCAAGTTCCTGCTGAACCTGCTGGACAACATCGCGTCTGGAGCCTTAGCCGTTGGTGTTTTTTGACTCGCCACGCTTTAGGGTTTGAATCCCTCCTCGAAATACTTTTTGTACTTCATGAGGCACCGTGTCATCACACGATGTACTATTAGAGAGCCTGCATTGAGCCTACGCGCTACTCTGCAGCATTTTCCTATATAATCTTCATCGCTCCAGCACCCCCAGCCTTAGTTCAGGAAGCTGTTAGGGCCAGAAAGGTTTCACATGCAAACACTTGGCCAGTATCAGTCTAGGAGCAAAGGGGGTTAAGGACTTTGGAAGTCCAAGTGCAATCCTTCTCCAGCATCGTCCTTGGCATCAAAGGTGTGCACAAAATTCTTACCAGCAAAAAGGAATGTGAATCGCTTCAACTAAGCCTCGAGATGTGTACCCAAATATGCAGCTTGGGTCGTAACTTGTAAAGGTGCTAGCCTCGCTGCTTGGCCAAAGATGCCAAAGCTGCAAACCCCTCCTGGGCTAAGATGACTTTTCACCAGCACAGTAACAACTAAGGCTTTTCCTAACCAGACCAATTTAAAGAAAACATGCACTTGGAGGGACAACAAGTATCGCCACCAGCAAACCCATGTTGCACAACCCTTTGCGCCACTGAGACTGGCATCCAGAGCCCTTCGCCATGAACTAAGTGGTAGAACATGTTGAAGTTCTGCAACGTCCACTGCAGGATCTCCATGATGTTTGGGTGTTCCTAGATGTTTTTAGGCAACAGATCCACAAATGCATGCTCTCCTATCAGAGCACCACCAACAAGAATAAACAAAAAGGTTTGCAGTCCCAGCCAATAGTCAAAATCTCCAGGAACTATCCCCTGAAGTTCTGCATTCAGCCACTTACAAACAAGCCCCGTGTCATGAGCCCGGCCCGTACCTCGAGGATACTGCTTCAACCTGGCAATGGCTCAGGCAAGATGGGCCAGGGATTGATTGGTGGCTGGCAGGTGTTGGGAGTTGAGAAAAAATAGAAAGCATGCAGAAATCCAAGACCAGTTCAGAAACGAAGTTATATGGAACTTGTTCAGCTCAAAAGACTTGATCTGGGCATTCTTGTGGTTGTCAAAGCACCATTGAGCAAAACGGTCATATGCGCAATCCAAACGTTTCTGAATTGTGGACCCATAGTCGTCAAAGAAACTCAGACGACAAAGAGTAATGACCGCAGAAAAAGCGAAGTCACCGCCAATGCCAATATTGAATGTATGCATTAAATCTGGCTTGATCGCAGAGGGCCTGTCACCACCTGGAATGGATCTCAGTGGTGAAGGCGTACCTGCCTTGTAAGGGTGAGCTGGCTTAGCATTCCTCCAATCCCGTGCTTCACAAGAGGATGTCATATTCCACCATTCCTAGGATGAAAACAAGTTCCACTTATAAATAACTTATATATATATATATGCACAAACAATTACGAGACCCAAACACACAAAACATAAACTTGTCTATGTACATTGAAGCATCTGATCCATTGCATAAATGGCAGACCCTCCGTGAGGTGAAGCCGCTGGCCAAATTATATGCCTTCCTAAGCCATGGCCAATCTCCCTTACACCCCAGGAACGCCACAAAGAACTGCTTGCGTTGGCCAGCAACCTGCATGGAGAGTGCTGGACCCACCCCCACCAAACAAAGATAAACACATTGCGACCCATTCAAACCCTTTAAGATCCTTTTGGTTCTTTGAGGTTGAGATTTGAAAAGAAGCAAAGCTTTATATATATCCTTCAAAGGAACTGTCACCGTAAGTCCCTCCTCAAACAGCGCAGTCAAATCAGCAGCCAACGCTTGCAGGAGTCCACGAATGCTCGCATCTTTGCGGGCATACCATGTGGCAGGCATCAGGGTATACAATAGCCTTGTCGTGAAAGAGTTCCTCAATTGGGCCACGGGTCTGTGGACAAGAACATGTCCTTCTCATATTGAATATCCAGGATATGTGGAAGAAATACCATAAAAACTATAATAATATTAATTCAGCACTAAGGGACTGAGAGCAATTGAGTTTATCTGGGCCGGAAGATGGGATCAGCAACTGGTAGGATATGCACATTACTGGCACTTTGGAAAGTCCACGACCTTCATCCCCATGAATGGCAATCGGTATGGTGTGTTGTAGTTCCTCCAAGCTCTTCTCACGAACTGGGTGGTCCCGGTCAAGTATGCAATAGTTGATCCAGAACGAAGCAAACATGTCCATGTAGGATTGATGACCATCCTTCTCAGGGCAATACTCTCCCAGTATATATCTTGGGTACTTCTCCAGCATTTGTTGACACCAGCTTGATAGGTGTATCACAGGATGGTCACCAAGCCTTTCCTTGACACGCCGCTTCCCAGAGGTTGTGGTCACCTTCTGCCGCAGTAGGATTGAAATGGATGAAACCTTAACATCCAGAACCCTGCCATGCCGGTGCACATACCGGTGGAAGTCCCGAGCAGCATTTGCACCTTTCCTCCCACTCTTCGACTGTCTGTACCGGGCCAACCGGTTGAGTTCATGATCTTGGACACCTGCACGGAGTGAGATGTCAGGGAAGGTTCACCCCATGCTAGCTACATGCATGGAACATGTTTAAAATAGTTCTTCAAAAACAAAGAACCCATGTGCACCCAATCGCTTCATCCTTTTGGCTGCAACAGCTGCCAGTTTAATGATTCGCTTGGAAGAAGTAGCCTAGGACAGTGAGCCAATAAGGAAAGAAACAACAGGGTCACCACAGGTTTCAATAATATATACCTCATGAAAAGTATAGAAATTGCAAAACCAACTATATCTTGGCAAAGGTCCCCTTGCTCAGTGTCCTGGAGCAAAGCGTCCACAAGGTCAGACGTCGAAGATGATGATCCTGCCAGCGGTTGTGTGCACCCACTTTCCACCTCCCCAGCTGCCACCCGAAGGCCTTGATCATCCTGATCAGGCTCTTGGTCACAAGGATCCAGGCCTGCACACAGCACACCGTGGGAATTGGGGAATGCTTGGTGGCACCGGGCCTGGTGCCACCTGGTGTGTGAGCAGGCCAGTGAATCACGGTCCTTTTTCTTTGACATTTGCCCCCATCAAAGCTCTTCGAACACAAATGGTTGAGATCCTATTGCAAATTTGACAGCAGCGTCCAGCAACACGCTGTTTGCAGTGAGATTAGGTAGAAAAGTTGGCTCCTTCAAACAACAAAGGACAACCTAGCTATATCGTAATAGTTTTTGGAATTGTTTCACCACATCATAAGAGCCAGGTCTTGAAATGCCAAAGAACCCCATTTCTCCTTGGAAGTGGGGCCTGTCCTACTTCTTTGCTTTCTTGGCCTTTGCGACCTCTCCCGAAGGCGGGTTCCGCTTCAACGATTTCTTTGCAGCCACAGACTCAGTTGGCTTCTTGATATTCCTCAGGAGGAGCTCAGGTAATTCGATCATGCATGTATAAAAAAGACAATGCACAGCTATAGCCATAAGTTCTAAATGGCATTTGAGAATCTTGCTCCGAGTGAGGTAGTTGTTAAGTGTCACATCATCCTTTGTGCACTGTGCAAAAAGTCCCATCACCTCGTTCTTCTTGGCCTCAAGACTCCTTTGGGAAGTTCTGCACAAAAATCATTTTGTGTTCCCTCAAAATAACTACATGACATTAAGAATTACAAAAATTTGGACCCCCCCACTCAGGTTTGGAGGTATCCATGGCAAGGTAGTCAGCTTGCTTGGCACTCAACTTGCCATACAGGCTGTTCAAACTCGTGAGCAACTTCTCCATCTCTTTGGCCATCCTTATGAATCACAGCACACAAAATATAACCATGAGGTTGCATGAAATTAGTGGCACAATCTAGCACCCACACACACATGTCAATATTCGCCCAAGGAACTCTGTTGCACGGGGAATCTTCATCGCGATAAGACGGTCCTGGTAAGCAGAATATATATTGCATGGACTTATTGCAAACTGTTTGTGTGCACACCCACGTATATAGTCCTTGGCGTCAGTTGCTGAGTCGACTTTCTTGCACAGTACATTGATGAATGTGGGTAATACAGCAAATGGCGAATCATTTCGCTGGATAGTCGGAAACACCAGCCTCAATTAGAGTTTACCCCCACCCTACAAGAATCCAGCATGGACAACTCACATGACAAGATGTGCATGCTTTATTGCAGCACAGTGCTGTCAAAGTTGCTTGCTCTTGCCTGCAGCAGCCACAACAGCTGCTTGCTTAACACGGTCTTCAGCAGATTCTGGAACTGCTGCGTTTGCATCCTCCCCAGCAAATTGGGACTCCAGCATGCCTCCATCCACATCCTGCCCACAAATAATGTCGATCAATTGTAGCGTATATCGATATGTATACATACAGATCTCAGATATACAGTCACTCATTTCAATCTACTCAAATGGAAGCCTTGCCTCAAGAGTCCCTTGAGCCCGAAGATTTGTCGACTCCCCTGTTTCAGAAGTGTGCTGGAAAAAAATCTTCAAGAACAAGACGGGCTTCTTGTTCCCCATGAACTTGGTTGGTACGAAGAAGACCGCGTTTCTCTGCCCATGCAAAGGACCTATCCGCCATTTGCCTTAGATCATGAAGAGCTAATGTGCATAAAGGTATATAGGTTGCTTTGGTAATTACACAGCATTCCATACACATACACATCAAAACAAGCAAGATGCGCAGTGTAGTTTTCCTTTTCTCTCAAATAGGTCTTGGTGACCCATTTGCCATGTTGGCCAACCCGTTTCAGCTCGGTATGCCAACGTGCAACCTCGGCCTCCACACTTTTGAAGGAACCATGAGTCTTGAGCAAAGCCCGGAGCTTGTCACCTTATACAGCGGGTGCGTGACACACCCTGTCTAAAAGATAGGAAACAAATGACATTTGCAAGTCCACATGCTATGAATAGGGGACATGAGACGACCTTCATCAGTGTTGTACAACTGCAGCACTTCCTTTGAAGCCTTGACCTGTGTCTTGTACTTCGGGTCACAATAGCGCCGAATCCTAGGTACATAGAACAAAACCCAAGCACCAAAAGTGGTAGGTGTTCCAAAACATTTCAAAAACAATTCAGGCACCACACACACATACATGTTCTGTTGCCATCTAGGCACTGGTGGTAGTACTTGTCAAACTTGTTTTCAGACTCTGCTGACTCTGCTGCATGAGCGGTCGAGGGTACCACAGATGATGGCACTGGGGAACCTGGGGAATACCCAAGTGGCATCCCATCATCCCCATCCCCTGCCACTGCCGTTGGACGATCCTTTCCACCCTCACCCTTAGTGAGATCGATCACATTGTCACCCACACCCTGGCCACCATCCTGAGCCTGCAGTTGGTCACCCACACCAGGGCCATCTTGACCCTGTGGTTGACCACCTTGAGACAGCGGAGGCGTATCACCTTCTTTCCCACCTGCTTCCTGCGTGGGTGGCACCGGTGTATCAGGAAGGGTCAGGGTTTGGTTCACATACGGTTCGGCAGGAGGAACCACATGAAGTGAATGCAAGTCTTTCGATTCCATCCTCCATGCACTGTCAAACGAAGGAGGACGAGGGCTCACATCGGGCAGAGCACTCTGAGCCAATGGAGCTTGTGTATTCCCAGCCACAAAGGCACCACTAGCTGATGCAATAGCCGGGGCACCTTCGGAAATCAAGTTGATAATCAAACATCCATAGTGGGGAAGGCTCACACACACATGGGACCATACATAGTGCACATGTGAAAAGCATCACCCTTGGTTCAGCCTGGGACCGCTGAGGTGCCCCTCTCCTGCAAGAAGCTGTTGCGACGAGCTTTCAGTGCCGCTATCTTGGCACGGGTCTCCTGGGCGGTGAGCGGGCGGTGGGCAGGCGGCAACAAGGGGTTCATACAATTAAGATCTATTCAGCCCATATATATTAGCATATTCAGCATTCAGATGAGGTTCCTCAAGCTTTGCCAGAGTAGCTTCTTTGCTGTAGTCCCGTGTTGGACAAGACATGGCACAGCCCTTGACTAAAGTCAGGCAACTAGTCACCTCCTTTGGCATCTCTTGGACCCAAAAATCTGGTTTAGCTAGACAATTCATGACAACTAGCAGTTCATCCCTGAAATGCATTCCACAAAAGTACACTTTTGAAATTTTCGGTTTTTTGCGGTTTTTTGCGCGGATTTGCGCTCGTTTTGCGCAAATTTTCGGTCGAGAAGATTTGTGTGAATCCACATAAATCACCTAAAGATACCTCCACAGCCTAAGATTGAACAGCTGCATTGTATTCCAAGCGTTCCACCTCATCAACGCATGCCTGGGCTGGCACCGGGCAGGAAAGGGATGTGATGGGCACCAGCAATGAAAGCCTGGTACAGGTAAGGTGCTAGCTTGATCAAGTCATCATTGAATTTGGACATCACGGCCATCCAGCTGTCTGGAACGACCAGATGCTTGCTACTGTAAAGGTAAAAGAAAACATGGTGGAGCTCTGCATCCAACCAGGGATCACCTAGTGGCATTGAATCAAATAGTTCCCTGTCTGAACAGGTCAGGTCAACAGCGGCTTTGTGTCGTAGGTGACTCGGCAACTCACGACGTCCTTCGTAGAGCTCCAGTAGACGCAATCCAAACCCTTCAGGATATGCCCTCAGAGGACAGAGCATGAGATTGCATGGGAACAGCTATGTACACATATCGAATCTAGGTAGCCAACGCTGTTTGCTTGAGATCACCAGTGCCAACAAATTTCTTCTCCCCACGTTTGTTCTGGTATTTGCCTCATTCCAGAGCAACACTCTTCTAATTAAGTTTGCAAACAGCCACATGATGAAACATAAGGTTCTGACGGACTGGTTGAAGGGATGTGTTGGCTTCTTTGGTTTTTTTGGTCAACTTGCCCATATTGAGGCCCTGGATCCATGTGGCATTGCTCCAGCACAGAGTTGGTTTACTGGTGAGGCCGCCCAGAAGCATCATCCAGAAGCGAACGCAATAAACCTTGGCCCCACTTTATGGGAAAGGTTTGGGTCCAGATCTCAATGGGGTTGACAGGTGGCCAACGTTTTCAAACGTACTGGGAAGGATCACCTGTTGCAAACTAATTGAGTTGAGAAGCATAGCATGTGGAATTACAAAACGCCTCCCATCTCCGATGTCGATTCAGGATCGATCCACCAGGTTGCTCAATTACAAAGTAGCAATGTTTCGCCACTATGACCATCAAGATCAGAATCATCCTGGGACAGAGACCAGTTATTAGTTTAAGATGGCCCCCAGCCAACCTAGAAAAGATGAAGGTTGCAAATAGAAAGCCTTATAGATCACACTGGTCCAAAAGTCCGACTGATGCAAAGATTCCCTTGCCCAACAAAGTCTAAATGCATAGCTCCATTCACATTGACATATGTCCTTCTTGTTGTACCCCTTGCTGGAACTCCCCATGAACTGCAGTCCGGGCCCATCAGGTTCATCGATTCTTCAGCTTCGCAAAGAACTACCCATAGCACTAGCCTCAGGAGATGGCTCCCCAGCACGGCAGTGAGCAAGTGCATACATATGCCATGTGTATGGTTATGTATTTTATGTTCTTTAGACAAAAAACGCGAACCCCGCAGAGTTCAAAAAGTTCATGGTCCTCTCCCCCTTGCAATAGATCTCATCAATTTTTGCACAAATATATCCCCTGGATTTCCTTAGCTGTCTAGGAATGCAGATTGTATGGCTCATACAGCGAACTGCTACCTTCTAGTAAAATTCTTTGCACATGCATATGTACGTGCTTCAAAGGGCCAAACTGTGTAGGCCTTAGCCTCTCCTGCAAAAAGGTCCAAGAACTGGAACCGCGTTCGGATCTCTGGCAGATTCTTTGACCATTGAAGCAACAACACGATTGCTATCAGGACCTGCACACGGGCATGAACACCAATTGTTGCACTATACATTGCCACATAAGACATATTAACACCCATGTTGTGCCAGCCTTGGGGGCTCCGACTTGCTGAAGATTCACCACCATGGAATCCATGGCTTCACAACAGTCAGGGGACCGGGGATCCAAAAGGTAAAACAGCTCTGATAGATACAGCAGCCATGTGCAGATGCTCTTCAATGTGCTGAACAATAGGTGCAAAGGTTCAGAAGTGGGACCTAAGAAAGTCAAAGGATCCGAAGTGGCCTCCAAATCGAATGGCCTAGCCCTCATTCATGATGAAGGCCTGGACCTGCGTAGGCACATTGGAGCAATTGCTTGCCATGTGTTCCTTGTGGTGCGTTGATTGCAATGCCTCCCCCCTCGACCCGTAAAACCATGTACAACCCTTTTCAACTTCTCTTCCCCAAAGCTCTCACGTGTTCAAACGGCTGATTGGCATGGGCGCTGCTGTGCAGCCTTTGCCATGACCATTTCCTCACATGAGATAGCCCCGAAGCTCTAGCCATTTCAGCTAGGCCAAGATGCCCTCACAGAACCAGATATAGATATCACTTGGTGTTGCGATAAGCCTTAGCTCAACTCCAAATTGCAAAATAGAAAGAGAAGCAGCACTGTGCCAGACACAAACACCAAGAAACCTCTTTTGCAATCTCTAGTGCTTCTTCCTTCGTGTGTCCTTCCTTCAGAGCCGCCCGCTTTGCCGTATGATATGCAGAACTCTTCCTGCTTTATTTTGCTTTTGTCTCCAACTTCTCAGCCTCCTTCTCATCAGCCTCTTCATCCTGTTTTTTCACTGCTGTCTTTACCATTCTTTTCATGCGCAGCTTTCCGCCCTGATTCCTTCTTTGACCTCTTTGGCTTGCTTGGCTCCTCTGTCTCCTCAGCTTCCTCCTTTGCATCAACCTTGGCCTGAACCGACTTCCTTTTCCTTGCCAACGCCTTGCCCTTTTCCTCCTCATCATCCTGGTCAGGCTTGGTTTACCGCATCTTCTTTTTATCCTTTTCCTTTGGCTTCTTGGTCTTTTCCTGCTTCTCCTTTTTGTCAGTCTTGGTCTTTGGTCGAACCCGCTTCCTTCGCTTTGGCTTCTCATTCTTCTCCTGTGCCTCATCCTCCTTTGCCTCCTCCGCTTCATCATTCTGCTTTTTGTTCTTCTGCGTCTTTGCTTGTTGGTTCTTCTTTGACTCCTTTGTCCGAGCTTTCTGCTTTGCCATAGCCTTTGCTTTTGCAGTCTTCTTTGAAGTTTTCTCCTTCTTGCTTTTCTTGGATTCCTTTGGCTCGGGTGGAGGCTCCTCCACAGATTCATGATCATCAGAATCTCCAGCATTTGATTCTTCACCGCTGCAGTCCTCATTTTTTTCAGCCTCATCATCAGATCCACTCTCACTTGCCTTCTTTCCTTTGCCCTTTCCATTCTTCTTGCCTCTTCCACGGCCTTTGGCTCCCTTCTTCTCCTTCTTGTCAGACTTCTTTTTTCGGGGTGCTTGCTCTTGCGGTGCCAGGATTGGAATAGCATCTAGTGCTGCTGGCCTCCCAACTGCTCCCTTTAATGGCACTTCTTCCTCTTCTTCTTTTGGTTCTTCTTCTTTTTCTCCACTTTCAGCTTTGGCTGCATTCTCAGGTGCGGCTTCTCCCTTTGCACAATCCTTCTCATTTTGTTCATGGTCATCGTCTCTGGCTTCTC